TGTTGTTGAATTGGGATGTTCCTCAAACTGCTATCAAGAAAGGTCATGGTCAGACAGCTATTGTTTGTTAATGATGAATGATACTCATAATGATAGTGAATGATTAAAGAATAGTTGTAAAAAAGAATGATTATATAACAATATGTGTTAATGATAATGCTTAATGATGAATGATAATTATAAAATAGTATATACCATTGGGGATCCTATAGTAATACTAAATGTAAGAAATATGTGGGGGTGAGATTTTGGCCTTTTGACTAAGATACTAGTTCTGATGCTGACATCTCACACCAGAGTACATGGGTTCAATATCCACCTCCAGCTCCCAGTTCCAGATTCCTGCTAATGCAGACCCTGGAAAGAGGCAATGATGGCTCAAGTAAGCAGGTTCCTGCTGTCCACATGGTTTCTAGAGGACTTTGGCTCCAGCTGGGGGCCTTTGCTGGCATTTGGGGAGGTTAATCAATGGATGGTAGCTCTCTAACACATTAAAATTATAACACATGGCTTAATTAAATTATATAAACAATAAACATTCTCACATGGAAAGATGCTGAGTCCTATGGAATCTAGGAGAAAGATTCCAAAGCACAGGCGTTTGTTAGGGGTTTCCATCTCTGGCTTGGGTGACTATACACTGAGCTGATGTGATTATTCCTGTTTCGTTGCAGGTCTGAATCATGGAGTACATCATAACATGACGTAACTAATGAAGAAAATGCATTTCCCTTTATCTGATTTTATCCTTGCCAAGCACTATTCTGACATTAATTATGTTTGGAAGCAGATTTTTCAGGTCAAACTGCCGCCTGCAATGCCAGGCATCCCATATGGTTAGTGTCCCAGCTGCTCCACTTCTGATCCGGCTTCCTGTTAATGGCCTGGGAAAAACAGGAAATAGGCCAAGTGCTCAGGCCCCTGTGACCCACATGGGAGACCTGGATGAAGCTCCTGGCTCCTGGCCTTGGCATAGCTCAGCCCTGGCTGTTGCAGCCATCTGGGGAATGAACCAGTGGCTGGAAGCTCGCTCTCTGTCTCTTCCCTGTCCCTCCCTCTGTAACTCTTTCAAATAATAAAAAAAAAAATCTTAAAAAAGAAGTGGATTTTCCTACTGGCAAGACAATGTGCTGACCAGTTGATGTAGGTATTCTAGTCTGCCTAGCATCTATTTCCTTCCTTTAAAAAGTCATTCAAAAATTATAAAAATAATACATGCTTATCACAAAGTAATAATTAAAACAGTACAAGCAAAATTCAAAGTCCACTTCTCATGCACAGCTTCTTTCCAATTTCCAATCCTGCTTCCTAGGAGCAACATTTGATTTTTTTTGTTGTAAATTAATTGCTTTCTCCATTGGATATCTGGCATCCAAGATATTTCTTTATGACCTTGTTTAAAAGGAATCTCTTGTGAATTCACTCAGAATGAACCAACAAAACTGAGTTTCTAAACACACAAAATTGAGGGCCAACCTTTTCATTCAGAGTCCTTTTATCTTCATGAGCCAAATTTTTGTTAAGTCTTTTAGAACAGCAAACGTGCTTTGTAAAAAGTGTAAGCTTAACCTTCCAGTCACAGAATATAAGAGAGCAAACTGGAAGCGTGTGTACTGCTGAGTTCACTGCATTGTATGATGCATCCAGTCCTATGAACTACCTCATTTATTTTTGTGTTAATGTTCAGTTATTTTCTTAGTCTTTTCAGCAACCTAACTCACCCCTCCCCCGAGATAAAGTAGGCGATTAGAAAAGTAACTCTAATCCCAGTGTGAACCAGTAGGCACCTACTTCAACGGTTTTAAAATAAGAACCAAGAAGATAAATCTGAAATGACTGAGGTTATAGATTGGCTCTTGTTTCTTAAAAATATCAAGATTATTATTATCGCCCATTTTCAAACTCAAAGCAATTCCTAATTGGAAAAATTAGTTCCTAAGATAAGTAAAGTTACGTTTTTAAGGAATTAGGAAATTTATTTCAACACTTTCCTCAATGGGAAATGTTTTTACAAGGATTTAGAAAGGACATCTTGAGTACAAGATCTCTAAAGGAATTTACTGTTTTAAGACTAGAACAGACAACTTACCAACATAGTGATGAAGAAACTGTGAAGGAGGATGTAACTTTCAGAAAACTTAAAATCCTGAGTTCATGTAAAGACAGGAGGACTATATTATTTTCATAAATGAACCAAACTTACAAAATGTACTCATTTTATAAGGCTGATGAGTTTTATAAATCATTTCAACTGCAAAAAAATTGATAAAAATTTGAGAATTTTTTTAGGTGTGAAAAACACTACAGTGAACATTAACAGAGAAATCTGATTGAATGTGGGGGTAAAATTAAGAGATCCTGTCATGTACATTAAAAAGACTTTTCTCAAATTAACTCATTTATTCTCTTTTCTTTTTATAAAATTAGAATTAATTTTTCTTTTGATTAACAAGCATGGTATAGCCACAATAATGATTCTTTTTAAAAAAATGATGTATTTACTTATTTTATTTGAAAAGCAGAATGAGAAAGAGAGCAAGACGGAGACAGAAAAAGAGAGATCTTCCATCTTCTGGTTGACTCACAACAGCCAGGTCTGGGCCAGGCTGAAGTCAAGAGCCAGGAACTCCACTGGGTTTCCCACATTGGTGGTAGGGGCCCAAGTAGTTTGTTCATCATCTTCTGTCTTCCCAGGTGCATTAGTAGGAAGCTGGACAGAAAACGGAGCTGCTGGGACTTGAATATGTAGTCTGATATTAAATGCTGCTGGGGCAAGCAGTGACTCAATCTACTGTGCCACAACACCAACTCCTAAAAATAATTTAAACATTCATGGGGTGGGAGTTTGTCTAGCAGCTTAAGAGGCCAGTTGGGTTGCCTGCAACTCCTTTCAAAGTGTCTCAGTTGGTGTCTTGGTTTTGCTCCTGATTCCAGCTTCTTGCTAATCTATACAGAGGGAAGCAGCAGGTGATGGCTTAAGTAATTGGGTTCCTACCTGGACCACTGGATGAGAGCTTTCTCTCTCTCCAGCAGAAATAAAAACAAAACAATGCAAAAATTCATTGTCTCTTTTTCACTAAAGACATGGTGGAATTGTTTTGTCGTACATTTGTTATTTACCAGCTTTCATGAAATGGAATGCTGTAAAAGGAGTTACAAAATTACATGGTGGGTATATCTTTGGGGAAAAGCTGTGGTTTCATAAATATGGCATTTTTTCCAAAATACAGAGAAGCAAGCTTAGTGTTCACATTGGTGTTATTCTCTAAACTTCCATTTTGTGATGTTACAAGCCAGACACAATTTGAGACAAAATGAATGTGCTTCAGACTCTTTGTATAAAAGGACCACAGTAGCATGGAAACGTCATTTCAGCCATCTGACCCTCTGGATTAGATTGACATATTTGGTCATCTTCTATTTAGGGTTGCTGATCGTGGCCTGAGGCACTTCAATACATTTGTTTTGATTTTTTATTTCTTTTTATTTTTTTAAAAGATTTATTTATATATTTGAAAGTCAGAGTTACAGAGAGAGGAGAGGCAGAGAGAGAGAGAGAGAGAGGTCTTCCATCCACTGGTTTACTCCCCAGTTGGCCACAATGGCTGGAGCTGTGCTAATCCGAAGCCAGGAGCCACGAGCTTCTTCCGGGTCTCCCACGTGGGTACAGGGGCCCAAAGACTTGGGCTGTCTTCCACTGCTTTCCCAGGCCATAGCAGAGAGCTGGATCGGAGGTGGAGCAGCTACCTATGAGTGGTGGAGCAGCCAGGACTAGAACTGGCACCCATATGGGATGCTGGTGCTTCAGGCCAGGGTTTAACCCACTGTGCCACAGCGCCGGCCCCTCATTTCTTTTTAAAATGTGATGTTACCCATGGGTTAGGCAGAATGACAAGGCTGGAATGCAAATATGCTCACTGTCTTAACACTGAATTTATCACTCAGCATAAACAGTCCTTTGCTGTCATGAAACTAGCAGCAGTTCACTTGTCCTACTCTGTGATTTTCAGTATAGACGACAAACGAAGAATCCAATCAACCATTGCCAGGAGTTTTTCTGCTCTGGCATTCTGGCATCTGATGTCAGTATGTCCTGGAAAACTACAGTTTGATTTGGTGGGTTGGGGGCGGGGGGCTTTACTTTTATATATAAAGGGTAACACTTTTACCTTAAGTATGAGGGATTCTCAAAGTTCCCCAAAATTTGTATCTTTAAAAAACTATGAGTGGTGGCTGGCGCTGTGGTGCAGTGGGTAAAGCCGCCGCCTGCAGTGCCAGCATCCCCTATGGGCACAGGTTTGAGACCCAGCTGCTCTACTTCTGATCCAGCTCTCTGCTGCGGCCTGGGAAAACAGTAGGAGATGACCCATGTCCCTGGGCCTCTGCACTCATGTGGGAGAGCAGGAAGAAGCTCCTGGCTTCAGATTTCCTCACCTCCAGTTGTTGCAGCCATCTGGGGAGTGAACCAGCAGATGGAAGACCTCTCTCTCTCTCTCCCCATCAGCCTCTCTGTAGCTCTGCCTCTCAAATAAAAAAATCTTAAAAAAAAAAAACACAACATTATGAGTGGATTTCAAATTTTCTGCATCAAAATAAATTTATATTTTAATTCCACTTTCCCTGAATTCTGGGAAGTACCTTTTGTGAAGATGGGCAGAAATGGCCCAATATCATCTGAGTTGAGATAATGGTCTTGCATGCATACCTGCCTTCAATGCAAGTGCCAAAATGGAGGAAGCTACCCTACTGACACAGTTTTTGGTTTTCTCAATTTACTCATTTCTATATCTACAGTTCTACTTTTAATATACCCTAAATATGATTTGAGAAGCCAGACGAACTTCACTCAAATTCCTAATGGACAATGCAAGTGTTCAGGCACAAATGAAATAACAACAAAACAGACCAACTCCTGGGGCCTGGTAGAACCGAGATGATTTCTGAAAAACAAGAATCCAAACTAATTACACATATAAACCAGTTTATTAGATTGTCAGTGATACTTTGAGACAAATTCAAGTTATTTTATTTTACTTCATATAAACAGAAGAAGGGAGGAAAGTTTTGAACTTCAAGCCTTGTTCAGCATGTGTGCAGTTAGCATCCACAAAAGCACCATCGGATATGGAAGAATTAGCACCACAGAATTTTAGGACCTAACTGTTAACATGCATCACCAAAAAACTTGGAACATGAGAACAGAAGTGGTATGTGGTATGGTCTATTCTGAGCAATACAAGGCAATTTATGATTTCTTTTCATACAGTACAATACAATCACAATCAATGAGAACCTTTTAAGTACAATACAGGACAAAAAACACCTTGTACCCTGTTAACACTAAAGCAGTTACAGATTTTAAAAAATGATTCTTGTAAGAGAGAGTGGGTTGAAATTATCCCTCCCCCCTCAATTTTTAAAATTCAGAGTTATATAGTTACATGATCTCTTAAGAAAGTATTTTCAAATCTATATGTCTCTCTCCCTCAATGCTGACAAATGGTGGTTTGAAAACTGAAAGGCTGGATGAATTAAAAAACAAAAACAAAAAAGACAAAATCCTGATAGAGTCAAGAAGGATTCCAGTGTGGTAGAAGGTACCACATGAGATCAGTTTGACAATGATGCCAATGCTGTTGATACTTGTCTTCCCTTCCGTGCAGGAATGCCAAGTACAGAGGCCTTGCATTCATGATGAACTTCAGTTCATTCCTTTCACCGAATGCCTTTATTCTGAAGTGGAACATGAGAGATTTATTCCTTATTCCTCAACTGTCTTTGTAGCATCCTTATGCTTGGTTTGGCAACAGTGAAAAGGGTTGATATTCTCTCTGGATTTAGGATAATTTGTGAGCTAAAGAAAAAATATTAATTTAAATTTAGCAAAGATGAAATTTTAAAGGGAGTTCCACTATTTCCACAGTACAAACCCATAATTAATATCATTGAAAACCTTTCTGTTAGAAAGCATGTAACAAACCCTCAATTTTTAGTTGTGTCTAGGCCAATTTTGGCCTATGAGAAGATACTGTATAAGAAAGGTGCAATAAGAATAAATAGATACAGGTATATTCAGATCTCAATGCATTGATATCAAGGAAGAAATATTTTTACTCACCAAGAGAAGAATATACCTTGAAGCATCTATGCAGACACATGAGTCAATCATGTATCTGCCCAAATTCTAATTCTGGAATAGTGATAACAGGGTCGTTTAGGAAAAAAGTACTCAATTACAGTGCGGCAGCAATTTTATGTTGTATATATTTAACAGTGAAACATTTTTGAAAATAGAATTAGTACTATACGGTAAGTTTACAATTCACCATTTCTATACTTGTAATACATGCGGTTATTTGTTTTCTGAGTTTTTAAAAATCCCACTAGGACCAACACTCTTTTGGAACAACAATCTAACATTAAACAAAACTTTCTAAGGAAAATATTTAGCATCACAGAGATTTGAGAAAAGTCTGTTACTCAGCATCACAAAATACTCAGTAGCTCTACATTTAAGATTGTTCATGCCATGACATTAACACGCCTTTGGGTTAATATATCTTATTTTAAAAAGAAAACAAAGAAACAAAGCAAACAATAGACAAGGAATTTGTCTTTGGTCTCTCCTTGGTCAGGACAGACCTCTGATAAACTCGATTCCTTTCTATCCTGGACTGATGACTGTCTCTGAAACTGCGTTCACATTTAGTAAAACATTTCAAACCAGAGAGAGAAAGATTGGCCACCACGGAGTAAGACTTACAGGGAAGTAAAATTGTGGGAAAATGTTCTTTTAACTGTTTTTTTGGAAAGTGTGCTGCCCCCAAACAAAAAAGAAAGCAAAGCTTTGTTCACTTTAAAATAGTTTTCTGTTGGAAAACATTCTTGGTTAAAAGGTAGCCTATCTTTAAAACGTCAGCGTTTAACTTGAGAAGGCTGACCTTTTTTGAAAAAAATTCCTCTGCTTTTTCTATGGAACTCCGTCCACTGTAGAAATGAGCAGTTGCTTTTCTGAAGAGGAAACAGTCACAGCAGCACGGCCATGTTGGTGATTTACGTCTGCGGATTCACCGGGCACAGCTCATGTGAGCAGAGAAACAACATTGATTTCTTCATGCTGTAGGACTACATTTGAAAAAAATCAGCTGAAACAGAGCTGAGTTATGATAGGCTCGCGTAATAATTTTGATTGCCCGTATATTTTAATCAACATTTCAAGACAAGGTAACAAAAATAAATTTAAAAAATAAAAACTGTTCAAAAATTGAAAAAGCTTTCAAATTTGACATTTTTCATTTCAAATGACTGTAGACTAAGACAGTTTTGCCATTATCACATATACTTTTCTTACTCTTGGGTTTTATTCCTGCATTATTTATTGGTTATATTATGTAACACAATTTTCTGTTAAATTAAAATAGTTTATTAGATTATACTGAAAGTGGCTTTAAAAATCATAACTAGAGTTAAATTCATAAAAGTATAAAGAGAATTTTAAAAGCTTTTAGACAAATTCTATAGATGAATAGTTAGTTCAAGTTAATAAAGTGCCTTCTTTTGTAGGTAATTAATTTTTTACTAAAATATTTTAAGGCTTTATAATAAACCCAACATTCTCAGAAATTTGATAGTCTATGGGGTTCTGTTACTAGCTAGCATTGTTTCACAGTTTTTATTTTATTTAATCTTTTAATCCATATGGTAAATTTTAATAGCAGATTAAAATTATAAATTTGAATTGTCTATTTGGAATCCATTTTGTGGAGAAAGAAAAGATGCATAATTTCTAAATTCTGTGATTTGTACATAAAACTCACATGTTGCTTGTTAACAATCTAATTTATGACATGCATGTATCAGCCAATGCCCTCAAACACTTCAGCAGAATATTTAATCTCATGGCAAATGGCCATCATTTCATTCATTTATTCATATATTGTTGTCTGACATTTAAAATGATCGTGCAGTCTTAAATGAAAAAGGCCAATGGAAATCTAAGGTAAATTGTTCATATATAGGCACAATGAATATCTTTTATTGCAGCAGTTTATGCATAATCTGTATTGATGCCAACATTTAATGTTAAGCATTTATATTCATTTACATGTTGTTTCTGCTACCCATAGGTATGTCACAGTAAAATACTGGTAACACATTACTATACATATATTTGGTAGCCATAATCCTACAGAACTCTATTTCTTGTAAGACTTGTCATTTCTCTTTGGGGAACATGGGTGTGTTTTAAGTACAGCTGCAAATTGGTTGCCTTGGCAGCTCCAGATTTTAGGATAAATTATGACCACATAGACATCAGCTACTCAATTGTTCATAGCCAATAAGGATGAATTAAAATGCCTGAATATTCTTTTTCAGAAATTTAGTTATCTTCATCAGAAAATTGCCAAAGTTGGGAAAAGATGACTCTGATACTTAAAATGTTTTCCTGATGACCAATGGATCAACTTAAAATGTCCTTTTAAATTAATGGTTTTGAGATTAGGATGGAGGACAGGTAAAACCCACTGCAAAGAATAGCTTAAATTAATTTGGGGATTGTTTACAGCCCTCTCTCTTCTGTTGAGGAACAGTGTTGTTTTTTTTTTTTTTCTTCACAGTATTTGTTGAACTCTTTTACTTAGGGTAGGGTTAACTATATGATCAATAAATAAACTGAAAACAGATCTTTGTAAAAATTAAGAGTGAGAATGCGAGAGAGGAGGAGAAGGGTTGGAGGGTGGGCAGTAGGGAGGGTGGGGAAGGAAGCGTCACTATGTTCCTAAATAAGAATACATGAAACTTGTATAATTTAAGTGAAATTTAAAAGAAAGAAAAAAAACTTAAAAAACCAGCTTACGTTAAATGTATAATTAGAAAATTAACAAAATTAAGAAAAATAATGCTACTCTTAGGATTGTGTTTGGTTTTCAATCTAAAGCCTTGTAAAAATAAGTCCAGGGCCAAAAAAAAAAAAAAAAAGAAAAAAGAAAATAGCATAATCATTTGTAATTACACAGTGCTTTACCAAAGTGTCATAAGTTAGCAAATAGTTTTCTAAAATGCATATGATTCTACTTTTCAAATCTAAGTACATATACAGTTCTTTTTTTCTCATACTCGTATGGTATAGTTTCACAAACTTAGCCCAAATATAATCTGGATGATGAATTATAACTTTCTAACCAAGTATATAGTATGTGCGTTTTTAGAAAGATAACTGTTAAGGAGCCTTTGTCATTGTGAAATTCAAATCTAAGTATAGCCAAAGCATTCCCATAAAACTTGAAAACATGAAAGTTTGTTTAGGCAAATTTTAGTAATGATCTGTTATATGATGCACAAAAATCACTTGCTCATTTTTAAAAACGTGTGTGGTTTAGTTATCTTGTTTTTATCTATTTGACTACATATTATTCTCTTCATTCATGGAAGTGACAGTATATACAATAACCAAGTTTTGAAGACGGCATTAAGTACTGAGATTTCTAGCCTTAACTGCTCCTTTCTATAATGCACAGCAAAAATGTCTGATGCATGGGTCATTAATTCTCATGCTGCTCTTTTTTTCTAAATAAAAACATTAAATGGAAGTGGATAGAGATAACATAATACGAGGACATTAGAGACTAAAGCACCAATATATGGAACAAATAAAATCATAAGCAATTCTATGGGAGTTCTCCATACTACTGAATTAGGTAAGTCGGGAGAATAATGAAAAATGAATATTCTTTACTATATAATAATTATGTGAATATACATTTTTCAAATAAATGGTATGTTCATAAAGTTAAATCTTCATATTTTTATTGTTAGTATGATGAAATTAACTTAGGGAGTTGCCTCATTATAAACCAAGACTCCTCTGCCCCTCCCCCAATCATATCGTTTAGAGGAAAGAGAATGTAAGATCATAATTCTCAATGACCGATCATCTAGGTCCTACTATGCCACAGACTGAACACTGGGGTGCTGTGCTGCATTTAACTGCGGGTGAAAATGCAGTTAAAAACATAAGAGAACTAAATGTTAAAATTAGGTTTAGTTCCTAGTCTCAGAACATTAAGTGACAATCAAGAAAGGACTCCCTTCCTTCTCCTACAGTTTGAGAATCTCAATCTTAAGTATATAAACAGCTTTATAAAAGCATCTGAAAGAAATTCCAATTCCATTCTTTATCTTTTGATACGTAGAACAGCAAATAAATGGATATCCTAGTATTGTGAGAGAATTAACAGGGATCCAACAGCCAAAGCTCTGTTCTCAGGACTTTAAAATTTTAAATATCAATCTGATGTTGCTCTTACGGTATCTATTCTTAACACTTTCATTTATACATTTTTCGTTAGGGATTACAGATCCAAGTGACTTTGTAATAATTAATCTGAGTTCATCACATGCACATTATATACTTTTTAAGACTGCATAAAAGCGACTGAGTCATCACCCTATTGATAAACAATGGGGGTTTTCTTCCCAGTGTGTTCTGATAACGGAGACACTCTAAGAAGTATCTGCTCACCTGAGATTATTTCTCACATCACGTACGTTCTGAAGTCAAACACAAGTGAAGAAAACCATCACATCTAGGTCCAGGTTTTGAAGACGAGGCCATTACAACTGCTGACGTTACTCACCTACTGCCCCACTGTCTCTGCTCCTAGAACAATTCAGAGCTTCCCAAGATGATCTCTCACTGAGGTGGGGGAGCTGTTTGAATGTTAGGAGTACTGCCACTTAATATTAATTGTAGGGGGCTATTTTCTCCACTCGAATTCTTACTCATGGTTTACTGCCGTGATTTTGTTAGTATTTATGTGTCCATTAAGATTTTAAGGGAAGATCTGCTTATTTCTTGCTTGTTTCCACAAAGAAGTATCATCAAAAATAAATAAATAAAATAAAAAGGAACTATCTGCTGTTAAACTCAAAAACATTGATGATTTCAGTTCTATTAGGTTGAATGAAAGTAGCCAAATACAAACAAGGGTTAATTTATATTAACTTTTTTTTGATCGATAGACAAAAAACTAACCAGTGGTGACAAAAATCAGATTAGTATGGGGGCTGGTGTTTGCTCTAGTGGTTAAGCCACTAGGTAGGACTCTCACATCTCACATCACAGAACCTAGATTCAATATCTAGCTCCAGTTCTTAAATGAAACTTCCTGTAGTGCACACTCTGGGAGGCAGCAACTGATGGCCCAACTGACTGGGCTCCTGTCACCCACATCAAGGTCTGGATTGAGTTCCTGGCTTCTGGCTCAGTTAAGGTTCAGCCCCATCCAAAGCTCAGCCATGCCCACTGTGGACATTTAGGGAATGAATCAGCAGATGAAAATTTTATCTCTATCATAAAAAACCCACAAACCCAAAAAGCGAAGCCAGATCATGGCTGCTTTTGGAAGTTGGAATGGGGAGAGAGTGGGGGCACTAACTAGGGGAGTATACATGAAAAGTTTCTATGGTGACAGAAATGTTTAATGTTTCCCTATTCATCAACACTGAATGGTGGATTAAGATCAGAGCATTTCACTCTGTAAATCATATCTGAATTAAAATATTAAAAAGCATTACAACTAAACATAATCATCCTGCTGAAGCATCAGAGGTTGGCTGATGTCTTTCTTCACTTCCAAAACCCCTTCATAGTGTCCCATAGCGAGTATATGTCCTAGAGTGGAACCCATGGCTCAGACCCACCGGGGACATGGATTTTCTAATGGGGACCACCGGCCGAGAACTGTGCATCAGTAATAAAAAAAAGAGAGCAATTCACTTCTAACTTTCAGGTGGAAAGAACACGATTTTGTCATATGCCCTTGGTACATAATCAAGTGCAAAATATGGCATATCACACGTTAACACAGTTTTGAATGCCAGCAGTTGGGGCCTAATTTATAATCATTACCTCACCACATCAAATCTTAGGGGCCATGTGTTCATCAGATTTAATGAGGTTACACTCAATTTCCAATATCCAGTGAATTCTAGTTTCCTACAGAAATAACCTTATTACATGATCTGACAATTCTAAAAATAAGTAAGTGAGAAAATTCTATTGGTCCTCAGAAGAAAATGGTAATATTCTGGACAGAATTCATCCAGCAGTGCTGCCAAGTATT